TGAGCTCAGAGAAATACCTCTGGGTGGACGGGCTTAACTCTGAGTTAAGGATGATTGAGCTGTCGGACGTGTGAGCATTGAGTCGTCATTATAATATGATATCAGCTGCTGGTAAAAACGGACCATATTTATCATCACCTTTCACCGCCACGATGGTTAATTCACACACCACCATTCATTACTTTAATTACTCTGGTCCAACAAGCGACACCCGTCCCAGGTGCCCCGGGCGTTCCTTATTATAGCGGCGGGAGAGGAGGGGTCAGGGTCTGTGGATCCAGCTCATCTGTTGTATTTGCTCAGTGGCTCGTGCAGACCTCTCTGCCCCGACACACTCCTCACCTCATTAACATTTCAGTTGACGAGATTTCCACGGCCTTAATTAACAATTCATGAGTGCACTTTATAGCTATATTAACATTCTACAACTAATAAATCAGCTTTCCTAATCTGCCGCGTGTCCACGGGTGTGTGTGTCGATGTGCGACAGGAGAGGAGAGTGTGTGTGTGTGTGTGTGTGTGTACACGTGTGGGTGGAAGTGTTGTTAGTGTTCATCTACTGGCCATTAAAACAATCGCCATCCTTTTGTCCTCACACGTGCGTCTCCTGGTCTGACTTTTTGGACAAAGTGGAAAAATGTGACTGTGTTTCTCAGTCTATTTCCGACCGTGACATTTGTTTGAACTTTCTTTTATGATCATGGCAGATCCTACGTACGATCCTACGTACAATCCTACGTACACGCGAGCTTTGAACAAAAAACTAAATGAACTGCTTGATTCCGATGAGGTCGACTGCTGCGTAGAGCTATTTGAAGAATGACTAATAACTTGTCCTTACACCAGGGGTCACCGCAGCAGCAGTCGACATAGTGACACGACACAGTCGCCTTTACTGAAACGATGCAACCAGGAATCCTTCCACCATTCCTCTCTAACCTCCAGTGTAAGGCCAATTGGTACCAACTGAAGCTAATGGTGTTTCCCTGGTGTGTACATCACAGCACAGAGCTCCTTTTGCTTTGTGAAGCCGTACACCTCCAACAAGGTAGTGACCGAGCTTCTTGAGATTTGTTCCGTCGTTATGTGTCTCCCCACGAGACTCAGGAAAACAGAAAGTAGAGTGAGCTTTAACGAGTACTTCAATATGATCTTTTTAAATCACGTACTACAGTGTACTCTGTGATAAATCCCACATATTGTATTCTACCTGTTTCCATCTGACATAAATATGTTGAAACGTCTCCTCAATATTGGTTTTTTTTACCGCATTAAATCTTTGATTCGACATTCTGTTGTTTGTGTTTTGCAATTAGTCAACAGAAGCGAAAGTCTCCGTCGAGCCTCGGCCCGTGGGAAGCAAAATAAAGGTGAGAAAAAGAGAGACGTAGAGACGGGGGGATAAATCTAAAATAATGGTGCCAGACAATCTGGTGGAGTCAATTCTCTGAAGTATCAACAATCCGTCTTCCTTGTTGCCAAGCTCATCTTCAAAAGCCACTGAGAGTGAGAGACTGACGTCGTTATTCTCAGCTGCCTCGTCGTAAACGTGTGCCGAGATGCTGTAGTTTGTCTCTCTACACAAAGGAGGGGGGGGGGTATTGGGGAGGGGATCAAGCTCAATCCTCTCATCTGGAGTACAGTGTCTGTACAACAACATGTCAGCTCCAAGCTGTGATTACTGTGACTTTTTATGTGGCTCTGAAAACAACTTATGAGTAAATAAGAATAAACACTTGGACAGTATGTACTGTATGGAGACTGACGTGTGTTTATGTGTTTAAGTTTCATTTTTAGATCTATTTTTTTTTTTATCTTGAGCTCATTTTAGTTTACCTTAGCTTCGGTCTATTTTTCCATATTTTTCTCTTAGTCCTTTCTGTTAAAATCATGCTTTTTTAAAGGTTTTTTTTAAAAAGGTTTTGATATATTTTGCTGCTGTTGTTGCTCAGTTTCACCATTAATATTCTCCATCGATCACATTATAAAACTGACAGAAGATTTTCACTCTACTCTTATCCAACTGATATCTGATGTGAAAGGCTGAAATGATGTAGAAATGCTGTTAGATTTAATGACATTATCAATTAAACCTAAACATGTACATCTCACTGCATTGATCTGCTAAAAGCCAATGCATTTGTGCATCACTTCATTAAAGCCTTACATTTCCCCGGAGCAGAGGCTCTTGGGTATTTTACCAATAAAAAAAAAAATCTTGCATTAAAACCTATTTGTAGTGCTGAGCTGCAGGTGCTGGACTGACACTGCAGTAACGCTCAGACGCTGCTTTCACAGGCACTGGTGTAGGTTGTGTTTGCATGACTTCTCTCTCCCACCGGTCGCAGCGGTGTCGTGGCGTCGGCACGCGGTGCCTGAAATGCCGGCAAAATGAAAGTGGTCACAGCAGAAGGACATGGAAAAAAACCAAAACACACACACAAAACCGTTTTTAATCCAAGGTTAGGCTTCATTCACTGTGACTGTTGGCTCCAGCTCAGTTTGTTATGATCCATGAGATGTGAAGCAGCCTTCTGCTGTGTGTGGTGTAAAGGCTCTGCAACGCAGCACAAAAGAGCTGCTTTCAGATGAAGCTCTGTTTGTACTCCCTCACAGGCTCCACCGGTGCACCAACACAGTTATGGTAACATAAAGATCAAGGCTGAGGCCTCAGGTGGGGAGGGGGGGCTGAAGGAGAGGAGGGGGGCACACTTCATTTTAAAGAATTCCAAGCCAGTGTTGGTGAAGTGCTATCTATCTATCTATCTGTCTATCTATCTATCTATCTGTCTATCTATCTATCTATCTATCTATCTGTCTGTCTGTCTGTCTGTCTGTCTGTCTGTCTATCTGTCTCTCTGTCTGAAGGCTGGCCTTGCAAAACGTACCGTACGCCTCGGTGACAAACGCATCGTCGACGCAGAGTTGAAAACATCCAGCCGCATTGAAGTAACAGTTTTTAATTGAATACACAGTGGTGTGTGTGTGTTTTTGTCAGAAGTTGAATGGAGGACGTGTTGTGTGACTGTGTGTGTGACAGCTGTAAATAGAGCAGAGAGAACAAGCTGAGGAGCACGTGACCTTCTGAAGTGCTGGAACACAATTAGAACTTGATGACAATGGCTGTAAATGCTAATGGGCACCATTACTGTCACAATGAGATTAGACTGAGAAAGAGGAAGAGACAGAGAGGGGGAGACAGAGAGGGGGAGACAGAGAGTGCTGATTTAGATGAACTTCCTCAACCTCATCATCTGTACAGTTCAATGTAAAACAATAATTTAAGAAGTGAGCATGATCCGGTTGAGGTCTCCAGATTCTCTCACTCTACTTCTTTTGGAACTTGCTACTTCACTGGACGTTTGTTTTCTCTTACTGCTGCTGTGCTGCCCTCTTGTGGACACTACAGGAACAAGTCACAACTTAAACCATTCAAAAATAGCATGTGTAAATCACGTTTTATTATTATTATTATTATCATCATCATTATTATTATTGGTAAAAGTGGTGTTATTTTGCAGTATGGTGGTATTTCTAGGGATCAAGAGGAGACAAGTAAATAATTTAGATCAGATTTAAGCCTTTATGTACCTGTAGAGGTTGCTGTAAACACAGCTGAAATGCAGACATTTATCAGTTGAGGATGCATTTAATTATTAATATTATCATTAATTTTTTTTTAGTTTATGTTTACAGATGATTGGTGACTGCTGCTGCTGATGATGATGATGATGAAGATTATCCTTATTATCATTAATAATAACAGACACATTTATAGTGGCAACATTGGCCCTGCCAATCCCCCCCCCCCACCACCACCACCAGCTCCACTCACAACAGTTTAACCAGGGACACAGCTGTTATAAGTGATGTCATGTCATATGTGTTTCCACATGTACATGTTTTTTGCATTTTGTTTTTGTTTTTTGGGGGTTGTTTTTGTCCTCAAACAAACCGTCTCTTTGGAGCGCTCTAAAGCAGCCATGTCTTATTTCAGTCCTGGTTTTCAAAGGAGAACTGCTCCAGGCCATGTCACAAAATATATGTGTGATGACAGAAACTCGCCTTTTGCTCACACTTTCACACAGCATGAGTGGTGACAATGGATCCCTGCCTGGAGTGCTGTGCAGTGATGCCTTTGTGGTACTTTATTTTCTGTCTCTGTGCACATTAAAATGTGCCTTTAAAAAATGTAATTGGAAATGCACAAATATTTATCTCTGGGAACTGTTACCTCACCATGGACTAACTGTCACTATCACAGATATTAAAACAAATTTCAAAATGACTCCTTCCTGATGTCTTTAATGTCATTATATGTCTGTTACATCCTGTCATCTTTGTTCTCTTGTCTTTTGTGTGAGTTTCCATTTAAATCTCAATACAAACCAAATTAGTGAAATCAAGGTTAAATAAAGAAACATTTCAAAGACAAACAGTCTGTGAAGCTTCATCACCGATGGCCGTGGGCTGACAACAAAACCTCGATCAACTCCACACACAGAGGCATCGTCGTTAATTAACGACTCCTCGTTAAGAATGATCAAATTAAACCACGCCACATTAACACGCGCTTAAACCGCCATTGAACTTTAAACCCTTCATGTCTGAGGGGGATTTTCTTTTTTTCCTCATCTGGGAATTTTTTGGGAGGAGGGTGTGGGCACTGAGCGTCACTCCCTGGGAGCTGAGGAGAATGGACTTCCACTAAGTTGACTGATTGTGGTTTAGTTAGTAGGTCAGTGTGATTTTGGGAACGACGCGCATGGTAATAACACGGTGCCGTTGCTTTTCCACGGCAGGAGCAACTCTTCCACAGCCACAGTTTGCAGGATGACTTACAGGAACGAGATGGACTGGCGGTGGAAAGTTTTCACACTTCTCCTAAACCTTCACTTCTCCTACGGCGCGTCCTCCTCCTATGACTTGTTCCACGGGTCTGCACACACTGGGATAGTCCACAGACACAGGAATAGGTGAGTTCGGACTTCACACAGGCTGCAAACTGCGCAAAAAAAAAAAAAAAAAAACTTTAAATAACACGTTAATAAAGGGCTGTTCAGTGAAAATGATGCAAAGATTTGCGTATTGTTGATGGCACTGGCTTTAGATCTGTGGTCTTCAAACGGGGGTCTGCAAACCCTAATGTGTCCACGCAGTTGCTGCAGGAAAGTTTAAGTAGAACAGACCAGTGTCTGCACATACCCTGGAGGTACTTGAAGGCACTCCAAGGGCTATGTTGGATTTTTTTTTTTTTTTATCTGGAGGTACTTGAAGGCACTCCAAAGGCAACGTTTTCAGTTTAAAAGGCGTCTAATTTAAATAAGTAAAACATGTTTTTAAAGGTGAAAATGCTTTAGAGAAACGTTTTCAGTTTAATTTAAATAAGTAAAACATGTTTTTAACAGAGAGACTGCAGAGCGTTGACATTTTCAACTATTAAAAATAAGTAATTTGGAAGCCTGCAAAAAATACTAAACTTTTTATTTGATAAAGCTCTGCAGCATATTTTGATGAAGATCAATCTTTTTTTTTTTTTCTTTTTTGAAATCTGAGAGATCAGATGGACTTCAATCCTTTGATGAGGCACATAAGCAAGTCATGACTTGGTGTAAAATCACAGAAGACTCCGCTGCTTTAGATCAATGGCAGTTTAGCCTGTTATGGTCAAAAGCAACAAGCTAACATTTACTGTGCCTTTATCAGCATGAGGCTAAATCTGGCTCCAGTTCGCCGGTACGGCCAGTGGCGATAAAATCCAGATAAGACGTGGAATTTTAGTGATTACTGAAGTCGTTTACTGGAGACCATTACTGACTCTGTCCACTGATAAAGTGACTATGTCACAGAACATGAGAGAGAGAGAGAGATCTGAGGCACTTTCTATGAATATCAAATAGAATATGTCCAACAGTAAAACAGTTCTGTGTACAGACACAAAGGAACGTTTGTAAATTGTGTAAACATACAGGGAATGGCCTATACTTTTTATGTCATTCCGAGGAATAGTTTCAAAGCCTCTTGATAAAAATTCCAGGTCTGAAGTCTGAGCTCTGTGGAGGCCGAGCTGACAATATCTCAACGGATCGACCCACTGCCCTGAACGCACCAACTCTTCCTCTTCCTATAAGACTCAGTCCTAAAGATCAGCTGCTGAAATACAGCCCTAAAACATGACAGAGCTGCACCATCTGTGTATGGATGCACATGTAAAGGCCAAGATTCAGCTCATTTACTTTATCTAACTCAGAAGCCCACTAATCTCCTGTAGTTTTAGCATCTTCCTCCTACTACATACTTTCAGATCTTGCTCTACACTGTATATGCTGAGGCTGTTTGTTTTCTCCCCCTGCCCCCCTGCCCCCCCCCTTCAGGAACTGGTGCGCCTATGTAGTGCACAAGAATGTGAGCTGTGCCGTGCAGGGGAGTGTGGAGAGCTTCCAGGAGCCTGTGGTGGCCCCCTGCCCAGCGTATCAGCCTGACTGCCAGCAACAAGTGACGTGAGCATCTCGGGGAGCAGAGGGGAAGAGGATGAGGATGCATGTTTAAATGCATGAGACGGACTCAGAGTTCTGACACAAAATGTATCTTTGCGGTGGGGAAAAAAAGAGTTGGAATATAAAAAAGACCAAGGAAAAATAAAGTATCTTTGGTTGAACAGTACAGTGATCTAACGTAGGTGGTGCTGCACCTTTTTTTTAAAAAAGGCCTTGAAAGACACACAGCGGAAGCAGGAAACACCTGTAACTGTAATAACTCTAGGGGTCACACACCTTGGGGTCACACACCTTTTTCCAGGTCACAAAACACTTCAAAGTCTTTCCCACTTCCTAACACTGTGCCGCCCAACTGTACCACAGAGGTTCCGCTAAATCAGAGGATCAGCATTTTGATGTTTTGTTCTTCTTCACCCGATGAGTCAGTCCGTCACCTGCAACTTGTTGTGAGGGAAAAATGTAATGAAATCTAATCGAATCGCCCTGGTGTTTTTACGCTCTTTTATTGTTCAGTTTTGAGCAAAAACACTGCTGTAAAAACCTTGGAAACATTTTCAAGCACTTTCAAGTACTCCTAGTGCTCAGGCAAACTCTGTGTCCTTGTCTTTTAAACTCAGCGTTTCAACAATTCCCCAAAGAGGCTCATTTGTCCTGGTGGTACAGCTGATGATAACCTCTGTCTGAAAACCATCCTTACTATAAAGATGAAACATATTTACAACATTCACTTTACTTGACATTCATCTACACGTCAGCATTGACAAATATGCGAAGCATGCTTTGGTTCCGTTGCACTCACTCTCACTCTCATAAACATGTGGACACGATCCACGGCGGAGTGGAAACGATCCATGGAAACTGATTGTTTCTAGGTCAGAGACTAACGTTTTGAAAGCCACGTCTAAAGCAAGAAGAGCAGAAGGTGAAAAAAAAAAAAACTTCTCTGTAAAGTTACGACATACAGTGTTGGCTTACTGTTGTATTACCTCACATATGGATGGGATTTGAATGCAACGCTGCAGGCCAGATATTATAATGAAACGGCCCCAGAGGAGTCCAGTTTTCCTATTTTATTTTTCAGCCTTGGTATCAGTACGGGTGACAGTTGGGAAATGTGAAAAAATGATTGTTGAGACATTGATTTTCCAGATGTTATTCACATCTCCGGGGATATGATGTCATCCTTTGCGTCTTTTGAAACCCTTTGCCTTGGCTGAAGACTATAAAAGTTAATTCACCAGGAACAATGGAAATTGGCCTTGCCTGAAAAAGGAGAAGCTTTTGTCAATCGCGGTCAACTCCTAATTCTTTGTTGTAACTCTGTGTTCCCACTGTTATGCAGTGGTTGTTAGTTAAAAAACAAAAACAAAAAAAAGGTTTTTAATTCTGCTGCTCTGTTTTGCAGATATAAAACGCACTTTCGACCCACCTACAAAATTGGCTACAGAACGTTCACTGAGTTGAGTTGGAGATGCTGCCCCGGTTTCCAAGGTCCAGATTGTAAAGACTCCAAACCATCTCCAGATCAACACAGAGGGCTGGGAGTCCTTCCTTACCTCCCCTCCAACCCCGGACATACGACCAGACACACTCAGAGTAAGCCTCCTCTGATCATAGTCTGTGTCTTATCACTTTGTTCTTACGTGTTTGTGTAAAAGAAAAATGTACTCCATCTTTGACTGCAGGGCCAGAGCGCAGAGAGACAGGACACCATGAGACCAGACATGGGGGGGCAGACAAGGTGCAGCTTCTGGAAAGTGAAGTTCAGCGCCTCTCTCAGACAGTCCGGGATTTCCAGTCTGCTTTGACAGGGTTAACGACCAACCTCCGCACCGACCTGCAGGAGGACACCAAGAAGATGCTGGTTACGCTGCTAAACATACGGTCACCAGAGAGCGCTGCTACGACAGGCACAGAGGAGAACCCGGCAGTGATAGATGGTCACCAAGCCTCTAGAACTGGGATCGCTGGAGACAAGGCCATTGAAAAGATAGTGGCCCGGTTAGATGATATCAGTATTGCTCTGAAAAATAAAGACGAAGCTTTGGAGGACATCAGAGGAGCCATGACGAGTCACGAGGGGCAGATCCGTGTCCTCATGGACGCCTCTCAGTCTCAGACTCCAGCCATAACAGACCTCGATGCTATGCAGAATTACATTGACAGTAAATTTGAGAAGCTGAGGAAGGAGCTGGACCAGAGTGTGGAGGAAGGGATGAGCAAGATAGAAGGTGTGTGTGATGAAAAGGTCAAGTCCTCTCAGAAGACCTGCGAGGACAGCCATGAAGAATTCTTGGTCAGCTTGACCAAGCTGGTGGATTCTAAAGAGGCTGACCTACGAAAGGAGATCAGGACGTTACGTTTGGACATGGTGGCCGCAGATGGACCCGTACGGACACAAAGACAGACAGATCCGTCCAAGAAGGAAGAGTTTCACGGTGACCACAAGGACCTGTGGCGTGAGATCGACCGTATCGGTGAGGCTCACCGTATCCTGAATGTCCGCATTGACAATGAGCTGGCTCACCTGTCCGCCCCTCAGCAGGACAGTGATTTCAGTTTACAAATGGAGGAGCTGGAGGCTCGGTTGAACATCACGGAACAGAATGCAGAAACTCACTGTTTCTACATCGAAGAGAAGCTCACACGTACCATCGTGGAAGAGGTGACTGAACTTCGACAGCTTTTGGACGAGCGTCTGAACAACATGGAGGACCAGTTCACCAACATGCTGATGGAAATGAGCAACAATTCATTCCCAGGCATGTTTGGTGTCTCGATGGACGCAATCCAGTCGGAAGTCAACAACAACAAGTTCCTCCTTCAAGGTTTGGACGACAAGGTCAATGCTGTTGGAGAGTTGTGCTCTGTGGGCTGCTCCAGCGCAGCGCCACACGCTGGTGCAGCTGCTTTACCACAGATGCCAAATGGACTTGAAAACATTTTGAAGGACCTGATTCGCTACAGACAGGCCTTGGACGTTCTTCACACCAATGTCAGCATCAACACGGAGCAGATCAGGAAACTGAGTGATGAAACCCCGTCGGCTGCAGATAAAAGAAACACCGAGACGATGGAAGACTTTCAGAGACGACTTACTGGTTTAAGAGATGATTTCTCTGAGTTAAGTGACAAATACCGCCAGGAAATGAACAAAATAAACACCACGTGTTGTCAACCGGGACATGAACAAAATAAACACCACGTGTTGTCATCCAGAGCAGGTTCACAATGAAAGACCATCCAGGAACGACTGGACTCCAGTTATCACGGTACCCAGCGGTCAGGCTGATGACTCCAAAACTCAAATAGAAGACCTGAGGAGCAGGCTGGACACTCTGAGACAGCAGATGACCTCTGAACTCAGTCAGTGTACACAGCACACGCAGAGCTTTTCTGATGTGAACAGACGCGTGGACAAACTGGAGCAGGTTTGTGGACGGTTGGACGACGTCTCTGCTAACATTAAAGAGCTGAAGGACGGACTGGAGAAGCACGTGAGGGGTCTGCAGGACTGTGTCTCCAGGATGAACGCCACCTGTGGATCTCACGGCGCAGACATCATCGCGCTGCAGCAGGCCTTGCAGAGGTTCCAGTCCCAGTTGTCCCAGATGGCCAAGCACGTCGTAAAAGACGTCACTGCCAAAGAACCCGGTGAGTAGGTGATCCAACAATGTGCTGTTGACTGGCTGCTGTTCTTTGTACAAATCTCAATTCTCAAGAAAATTCCAAGAACAAAAGTGATACGATCCAAAACCTGTAGTTTGGTTTCCAGGTGAACCTGAATCTTTTTTTAAAACCCAGAATCCTGACTGTGCACAAAATTGATGTTCGGTTTCCTCTGGGTGTGATAAAAGGAAATGTCACAGGAAACATTTTGATGGTGAACTATGTGAGGCAACAGTGATTTCCTGAAGCAGTCCAGAGACCATGTGGTCATTCAACACGGTGCAGTTTCCTCAATTGGCAGGTTTCAATATTAATATGGTTTTACAGATAACAAAAGTACATTAGATCTAACTATATTGACATGAACAGAGAAGCTAACAGCTAGCTCGTAGTGTGAAGCCTGTAATTGAAAAAAAAAAAAAACATTGCCACAATTTTGTTCAAGTTCTTCTGCCTCTCTACCTCGGTGGATTTCCACAAGACCACAATTGGGGACTTGAATGCACTCAGAAAAAAACTTTTGTAACAACCAGAGAATTTTTCTCTTCGCCCGCGCCTCAGGTTTCAGTTCATCCCCTCAGATTAACATCTGTGTAAACACAAACAGTTCCTGAAGATAATTCCCCATAAAATGCATTCTGCGTGCCTGGTTTACATGGAGTTTTCGAAGGAAGGATCAGATCCCATGAATGGCCACAGGGTATTTCCCAGAGTGGGAGGACACTCTGAGTTCAAGGGGCCTCCTTTGCTTGCATTGAGTCTGTCATTCAATATATTCCTGCTCCGTGTAGCAGAGGCCCACGCTGGAGACTTCCTGTGACATGTGAGATTCATGTTGTCTTATGAATTCCTCACTTTTAGTATGAAAAATGAAAGTGCTAATACAAATCTTTTTTTCTTTTTTTTTAACGTGCCAAGCTGAGTTTATATTCCGGTCTCGACTCCTCCCAACTACTGTTCATAATTTACGGGGACTGTTTCACGTCTCGCTGCTCCCTCAAGTAAATGTCAGAACAGCCTGAACATGGTTCTGTCCTGCCTTCACTCCCTTTATGAGAACTTAACTTGTGTGTGAGGTCCTTTGTCTCCGTGGCATTTCTTTTACATGCACCACCACCACAGAGGTGCAGCCTCAGCTTTGGTGCCCAGCGTGTTCACACACACACAATCAGGTACACAATCACGTACACAATACACCTCCACAATCACGTACACAATCACGTACACAATACACCTCCCGCATTTTTCTCCTTCTGCTAAACACACACACATACCGAGCTTCAGAGATTCCCGTAGGGTGACCTCAGCCTGATGTGTGCAGTCTGGTCCTCATTAAGGGCCCTGAGTCACTGCTGGAGCCAGTCGTGGTGGAGAGGGGAGAAGCAGGCCTCCACACCCAAGACCAGATGCTTCCACTGCCCTCACATGTGATGTCATGACTGGGGCCCCATCACCAGTGCCTCCCTTTCTCTAACCACCATGGCAAACAATGGTGTGATCTGAAGGGAGGACTTATTAGATCTTTGAGCTCCATTCTGATGCATATAGACTCCTGGGCTCAGAAACTCTTCAGAAAAGCAGAGAAAAGATTGTATCGTGTAAAAAAAAAAAAGAAGAAATATTCTCCTATGGATTATTGTCTGCAGCCAAACTCCCCCCAGAGGACCAATAAGATGATGGCCATGTATTTTTATGTCCACAGATAGTCCGGTCCAGGCCAGCTTGTTTAAGACCACCCACACCATCATTAAAAAAAAGGTGCAAATATAAGCACTTGGATGTATGGGGGTTGACTCTGGCTGTGGCACAGAGGATGTGTTTATCAGAGGGGAAACAGTTCTAAGACTCATTTAGAGATCTTCACACATAAAGATAACAAAGTTTATTTTTTTCCACCTATCCTCTGTTTACATCTAAAAATCCATCTTCCTCTCTAAACAAAAACTTGTTGAAGTATTCACTGACCGTCCCGCCTCAGTCTCTGTTTGGATTCATGTGACACAAATCCATTTATTACAGACGCCTCGGACTTGAAGCACTAGTTCACTTCAGAGATGCTGCACCAAAGGCAGTTGACCTTTCACCTCTGAGCTATGACGAGCTAAATTAGCCGGCCTGTAGCCGTAGCTTCCCCTCTGCCATTATGAGTGGTTTCAACCTGACTCTTGGCAGCGGAGGGACTGAGCATACTTCCCAAACTCTGCCCTCATTGTATCCTAAATCTCGTGAGAAAGGAAGTTGAGCCATGTGGTTGAGGATTTTATGTTTTTCTGGAGTTTTGGAAAGAAGGACATAGTCTAAATACAGATGAAATTTCCACAAAAAATCCCAGCTCTGTGGGTGTGGTTGTGGTTGAGAGACTACTGAAATGTTTCCTCGCTGCATTGTAGCTCATATTCTCCGCACGGTCGTACGAAGACCCCGAGGAGGCTTCACAGATGAGGTGTTGTAATAACATGACAGAAAGATTAACTGAATATCTTTGCCCTTACTCAATGTGGCTGCCGGCTGGAATTGTGTGACTTCAGCTGCAGGAATAGTTTTGCCCTCAGCAGCAGCTGCAGCGGCGGTGGTTTACTACAACCACACCACAATCTCTGTGCATTTGTCTTCTGCTGTCGTCTCTCCCACTGGTGCTGCTGTTGAACTGCAGCGAGGCCTCTTGGTTTGAGTTACTGCATGAGATCTAGAGTTTAGTCAGTGTTTGACAGAGGCCACAGGAGGACGGAGACGTACAGGAGGTCCAGATTGGAGGGTGATTTAATGGAAATTATTATTTTATTCTATTATATTTTTACTGTATTTTTGTTTTTGTATTGAATCAACAGGAGATTATGTTCTGAATATGGCAGGATTTTTTGGGCATTAAAAATTTCACATGCACGTGTGCGACCACCTTGCGTCACATGTTTCACCCCCGCCCCACAATGTGTCCCACCCTTGGACCTCAGACCTGTGGACAAATGTCTTTTTGGACCTTAAAGATCTGAATCACCGTCCCCCGATCAGAGCGCACTTTCCCTTTTCAGCCAGTGACTAATCAGATTCCTCCTGCAAGATTTTCACATTTGATGTAAAATCTGTTTTTTTTTTTCTCTCCCCCTATTTTTGGAAGTCATCCCACTTCAGCTCAAATCACTTCCCTGTAACTCCCCCACTCTCTTCCTCTCCTCTGAATCTCACTCCTCACTCCCTTATCAGTCTTTCCTTCTGTTCCATTTCTTCTTCCAATTTGTCCTCCCAAAAATGCCAGGGGACTGGCCTTCCTCCTTCTCCTCCTCCTCCTCCTCCTCCTCCTCACCACAATGTCCAAAAGTATCGAAGACCAGACTTCAGGCTGGGTTTTTTTTTCAAGAAACGAATGCTTCATTAAAGAATCCATGTTTGGCCACTGATCTGTCAAACCAAGATTAGAACCAGGGAGTAGGAGAACAGCTTCTGTGATGAGTGAAGGCAACGAGAAGGAGACTTCATGTGGGTGTTGGAGTCAAGGGGCGTTTTTTTTTTTTTGACAAATTCAAAAAACTGCCCACCAATATATCCATATATGAAGTCAGCCCCAGAGTTTTTGAGGGCGTGCTTTGATTGCAACAGCTTCCCAGGAGAGTTCTCTGTGAAGCTATGAGGTGTTTCCATCTCTGACCTGGTTAGAACCATCTGTAAGTCTTCAGGGGAAAACGGAGCCAGATACACAACGGGCGTTCCCCAAGTTTGCCATACAACGTAGTTTTAAAACCTCCCGTTATTAATATCGTCAGAGGAAAATGGTGTGGAGGGAAAAAACGGTGTCCATGTGCGTATCTGAAAACTGAGAAAAAAGCAAACGCACATCTGACTCCGGGCGATGCGTTGTTGTGCGTCTGTGTGCGACCTCCACGCCCTGTCTCCTGACAGTGTTTTCCGTGTCATGTTCAACTTGTGTTCCTCAAAGCCCCCCCGACACACTCCCTAAAAACCAAGGCGCTGTGACTCAGGTCTGTTGGAGCGGCAGTGACTGCAGCGTCCCTCCCCCTGCATTGTCTCGATCTGTTTGTAAGCGATAACATCTGGTTCTGGTGAGCCTCCTGGTTGCACTGGTACTCTGGTGTATGTGTGTGCGCGCCTGAGAGTGTGTTTTTATTTGATTTTTTTCTTCTGTTCCATCTCTGTGGTTGCCCCCTTGGTGAGACCATAGAAGTGAGACACATGAGGCTGACTCATGGGAAACATGAACCCAGGCAACTGGCGTCCTGAAGGAGGCACGAGGAGGAAATGAATAAGAGACTTCGGATTATCTCGGTACAGCATGATGGCTGGGTTAATTTGTTTTTGATTTACATGTGGTTTGTGAGCAGCTTGTTGAAGATGTTGCAGCGAGAAAGAAAAACTGTGAATGATAAGGATTTATTTTAATCAGATTTCACCGTACAAAGCAACAGGAAGCCTCTAATGTGCTTCGGTTGCTCTCTGATTCTTCTGAACAGATTGCACTGCTCCGTGCACAACATGGCCACAACAGAACGTGTTTTTATTCAACATAAAATTAGTCACAGGGTCTTTTTTTTTAAGCACTTTTTAAGCACCGTGGCTCTGATGGTGGAGTTTTGTTGTCTTTTCACTGAAAGGTCAGGGGTTTAATTCCAGGCTCAAGTGAAGTATTGACAGATGTGTGATAGAAGAAGACCTGCAACAACAGCAGGATATAAATGCCTTTAATCACATGACTGAACAGTGATTAATGTTGGCCCATCAAGGTAGCTCAGTTCATCCTCCGCTTGGAAAGATATAATCATTCCATTGTTTGTCTGGTCTGTTTTTTTTCTTCCTTGCCGACAAGTTGCAACTCTACCTGTTTCATCAGTGCCAATAAAGCATGTGTGAGGAGTACGGTCGAGCACATGTCCTGGATTTCCATGGAATCTAAGGATTAGTTCCTGGTTATTTGTCCCAAAAGCAATGAAAGCATCGGCAGACGCTGAAGCTACTTTATTCAAACTAACAACGTTGTTTCTCTTCATAAACTTTTAGTCGTTTCCGTCAGAGAATTCCTTCTCTGTAGAGTCCGTCCCACCAGGTCACAACCTGCTTCTCTTCCTCTTCTCGAGAAATTGAGTTTCTTCCTTGAAATGTTCTTTGGAAAAAATTAAAGTCGAATCAGAGGAAGCTCCAAACAACTCTTTAACATTCTAACATCTGTCTTGGGACTTCAACCCTCACAGTCCTATCAGCTCTGACTCAGAGTGCAAACCGTAACCGAACAGTATCAAATCCCAGGGAGCGACGTGAGCTGGGCTCTGACTGTTGGCCTGGCGGTGTAGCTGTTACTCCACTAATGATGGTATTGTGCAACAGTAATACAACAACAACAACACTACTGCTGCTGACATATACCATGTCCATAAGCTGAATTCCAGAGGCATGACGTAAAGTAATGTGTGGAATTAGTGACAGATGTGAATGGAAAAAAG